TGGCCACTGTGTGACAGAGTGGTGGACTGGGTGGGCATTTGGCCTGATCCAACACTGGCTTCTCTTATGTTCTTATAAGAGGGAACTGGATAAACATATGGAGCAGAGGCCCATCAGTGGCCATTAGCCACAAGGTATAGATAGGAACTCCGGAGCAAGGGATGCTCTGTATTCTTGGTGCTTCTGGGGGGCAACAGTGGGAGGGCTTCTAGTGTCCTGGTCCCACTTGTGAACCTACTGAGGGCACCTGGTACTTTTGGCCATTGTGTAACACAGTGCTGGAGTGGATGGGCCATTGGCTTGATCCAACAATGGCTTCTCTTATGTTCTTAGAGATAAACATATGGAGCAGAGGCCCATCAGTGGCCATTAGCCACAAGGTATAGATAGGAACTCTAGGGCAAGTGATGCTCTGTATTCTTGGTGCTTGTGGGGGGCAACAGTGGGAGGGCTTCTAGTGTCCTGGTCCCACTGGTGAACCTACTGAGGGCACCTGGTACTTTTGCCCACTGTGTAACACAGAGTGTTGGAATGGATGGGCCATTGGCCTGATCCAACAATGGCTTCTCTTATGTTCTTATGGATAAACATATGGAGCAGAGGTCCCTCAGTGGCTATAAGCCACAAGGTATAGATAGGAACTCTCAGTCTGTGGCAAGTGGATGCCCTGTATTCTTGTTGCTTAGGGAGGGGCAACAGTGGGAGGGCTTCTAGTGTCCCGGCCCCACTGCTGGACCTCCTGATGGCACCTGGTGTTTTTGGCCACTGTGTGACACAGAGTGTTGGACTGGATGGGCCACTGGCCTGATCCAACAGTGGCTTCTCTTATGTTCTTCTGCAAGACCACACCTGTTTATATAAGGGGGAAGCAGCAGAAGACATCTGCATTGCTATGACTGGGTCATTTAAAAAATGCGAATTTGGTTTCTGCCAAAAGAAAAGAAAAAAAGACAGACGTAAAAAAAAAGAGACAGATGTTTATAGCCCTGAACAGCAAACGCTTCAGATTTCTCAAACTCCTTATCTATGCTAAAGAGATGAATTGCTTCAATAAACCACCCTGGCTTCCTTCAACAGACGTGCAATGCCCAGCCCTCAATGAAAACAGCCAGGCATGTTCTCCTCCTTCCATCTGCAGAATCTTTCTCCTAAGCTAACCGTGGACGCCTTGGCAAACTCCAGCTAAGTGCAGCATTGCAATTATTCAAAGAGGGCTCACTCACTGCCTGCTTCGCTCACCCAAACCGCTCT